TTCAGATGGTCACACCCATATTGATCAGACCACACCTTGCCCACACACCCACTAAACGCGAGGAAACGTACCTCAAAGCATTTGAGTAAACGTGTGGTTTAGTACAAAGAGTCACGCCACGTAGCAAACTGAGGCGAACTAAACGCACCACCTCGTTGGTTCATCCATTTTCAACAGTTGCAACGGACATTTCCCAACGCAACGAGGACATTTTGTCTGATTGAATTTATGAACTCAAATTTCTTATAAGGATACTGAACTCAGTGATACAGAATGTCTGCTTGTGATAATCATATGTAAAATAAAACACCCGGCCCAAGTGCGTAACAACCTTTAGGATACATTAACAAACAACTTAGTTTGGGCCATGTTCGAGAGGATCAAAACCGCAATGTATCGTGGGTAAATTGTGAGTGACTGACAGCCTCAATTCGTTTGGGGCAAGGACTCTACAAGGTGTCGAAAGCATTCCATAGGGATGCTGGCCCATGTTGACTCCAATGCTTCCCACAGTTGTGTCAAGTTGGCTGGAGGTCATTTGGGTGGTGGACCATTCTTGAAACACAGGAAACTGCTGAGAGTGAAAACCCAGCAGCATTACAGTTCTTGACACAAAACCGGTGGACCTGGCACCTACTACTATAACCCATTCAAAGGCACTTAAATCTTTTGTCTTGCCCATTCATTTTACCAGAGTGACTGACAGTAGTGAGTGCATACATTGTCATTCGTACTGGTCCACCATGGAAATCAAACACACAACCCTGGCGTTGCTATAACAATGCTCTACCAACTGAGCCACATGGGATTAACCCTCTGAATGGCACACACACAATCCATGTCTCGATTGTCTCAAGGCTTAAAAATCCTTCTTAAACCTGTCTGCTTATTTAACCTGTCTCCTCCCCTTCATCTACACTGATTGAAGTGGATTTAACAAGTGACATCAATGAGGGAACATTGCTTTCACCTGGATTCACCTGGTCAGTCTATGTCATGGAAAGAGCAGGTGTTCTTAATGTTTTGTATACTCAGTGTATATGTGTAGGCCTACATTGTACTATCAATTGGGGAGAGAGCCTGAAATATCACATTCAGTTGTACATATTCACTGTATACCAATTACCTTCAGAAGTCATAGTTAGTTAAATAAAGTCCACCTGTGTGCAATCCAAGTGTCACATGATCTGTCACATGATCTCAGTATATATACACCTGTTCGGAAAGGCCCCAGAATCTGCAACGCGACTAAGCAAGGGGCACCACCAAGCAAGCGACACCATGAAGACCCAGGAGCTCTCCAAACGGTCAGGGAGAAGTTGGGGAGGAGGTACAGATCAGGGTGGGGTTATAAAAAAATATAGTTAATTTTGAAATCCCACGAAGCCACCATTAAATCCATTATTAAAAAAAATTTGAAAGAATATGGCCACCCCCAACAAACCTGCCAGAGGGGATGCCCACCAAAACTCACGGCCAGGGCAAGGGCCTTATTAGAGAGGCAAACAAAAGACCAAAGATAACCTGAAGGAGCTGCACAAAGTCCACAGCGACATTGGAGATCTGTCCATAGGACCACTTTAAGCCGACCACTCACAGACTGGGTTTACGGAAGAGTAGTAGCTAGAAAAAAGCCCATATTGCTTTAAGATAAAATATAAGCAAACATGTTGGTTTCGCCAAAAGAATGTGGGAGACTCCCCAATTCATATCGAGAAGAAGGTACTCTGTTCAGATGAGACTAAAATTGAGCTTTTTGGCCATCAAGGAAAATGCTATGTCTGGCGCAACCCAACACCTCTCATCACCCGAGAACACCATCCTCACAGTGAAAGCATTGGTGGGGGTGGCAGCAATCATGCTGTGGGGATGGGGTTTTGTTCATCAGCAGGGACTGAGGAAGGAAGAAACTGGTCAGCATTGAAGGAATGATGGATGCGCGCTCTAAATACAGGGGAAATCTTTATGGAAACCAGTTCGTCTTCCAGAGATGGAGTTTGGTGAAATAGCTATGCAGCTCCAGTTAGTTTCTGTTTTTTTTCTTATTTCTTGTTGTTACACCAAAAAACATATTTGCATCTCAAAGTGATAGACCATGTGTGTATATCAAATTATACCAACCCCCAAAAATCCATAATGCCAGGTTGTACAACTTTCGCAAGCCACTTAGATAATAGACAGCAGCAGAAGCGGATGAAAGTGTGTGTGTGTGTGTGTGTGTGGGCATCAGTATGCATGTGTGTACAGGTTATGTGTGTAGGGAGTACAGTGGGGGAAAAAAGGATTTAGCAGAAAAATCAAAAGCAACAAATTGTGCAAGTTCTCCCACTAAAAAGATGAGAGAGGCCTGTAATTTTCATCATAGCGTATACACGTCAAACTATGACAGACAAAATGAGGAAAAATAAAATCCAGAAAATCACATTGTTGTAGGGTTTTTAATGGAATTATTTGCAATTATGGTGGAAAATAAGTATTTGGTCAATAACAAAAAGTTCTCATACTTTGTTATATACCCTTTGTTGGGGGGGGGGGGGGGGGGGGGGACAATGGGACACGGGTCAAACGTTTTCTGTAAGTCTTCACAAGGGTTTTCACCCACACTGTGTGGTATTTGGCACATTCCTCCATGCAGATCTCCTCTAGAGCAGTGATGATGTTTGGGGGCTGTCGCTGGGCTGGCACAGGACTTGCAAACTCCCTCCAAAGATTTTCTATGGGGTGAGATAGGGAGACTGGCTAGGCCACTTCCAGGACCTTGTGAAATGCTTCTACGAAGGCCACTCATTCGTTGCACGGGCGGTTCTTGTTTTGTGTTTGGGATTTCATTGTCATCTGAAAGACCAAGCCACGTTTTCATCTTCAAGCCCTGCTGATGGAAGGAGGTTTTCACTCAAAAATCTCACGATACATGGCCCCATTCATTCTTTCCTGTCACGGAGCAGTAGTCTGGTCCCTTTGCAGAAAAAGCCCCAAAGCATGATTGTTTCCACCCCCATGCTTCACAGAGGTATGGTGTTCTTTGGATGCCACTCAGCAGTCTTTGTTCCTCCAAACACGACGAGTTGAAGTTTTTACCCAACGTTATATTTTGGTTTCATTTCTTTGACCATATGACATTCTCCCAATCCTCTCTGGATCATCCTAACTGCAATCTAAGCAAACTCAGACTGGCCTGGACATGTACGGCGTAAGCATGGGGACAGGTCTGCCACTGCAGGATTTGAGTCCCTGGGGCGTAGAGTGGGTTACTGATGGTATAGGCTTTGTTACTTTAGTCCCAGCTCTCTGCAGGTCATTTCACTAGGTCCCCCCGTGTGGTTATGGGATTTTTGCTCAGTTTCTTGTTATCATTTTGACCCCATGGGTGAGATCTTGCGTGGAGCCCAGATCGAGGGAGAGTATCCGTGGTCGGTTATGTCTTCCATTCTAATAATTATACCATAGTTGATTTCTTCAAACCAAGCTGACTACCATGGCCAGATTCAGTCTCCCAGCCTGGTGCAGCACAATTTTGTTTATGGGTCCTTTGACAGCTCTTTGGTCTTGGCCTTAGTGGAGTTTGGAGGTCAGTGTGGACTGTTTGAGGTGTGGACAGGTGTCTGTTAGACTGATAACAAGTTCAAAACAGGTGCCTTAAACAGGTAACGAGTGGAGGGACAGCGGAAGCCTCTTAAAGAAGAAGTTACAGGCTGTGAGAGCCAGAAATCTTGCTGGGTTTGTAGGTGACCAATACTTATTTTCAACCATTCATTTGCAATAAATTAATTTTTTTAAAATCCTACAATGTGATTTGTGGAGAAAAAAAAAACTCAATTGCTGTCATAGTGACGTGTACCTATGATGACAGTTTACAGGCCTCTCTATCTTTTTAAGTGGGAGAACTTGCACAATTGGTGGCTGGACTAAATATTTTCCCCCACTGGATGTAGTGTGTGGGTGTGTTGTATCTGTGTGTGGAGTCAGTGTTGTAAGTATGTGTGAGTGTGTGGGTAGAGGTATAGTGTGTGTGCTAGAGTCAGTTGAAGAGAGTTGTTAGTGCAAAAAAAGGTGTAAAGCAGTTACTCCGGGTAAGACATTTTGCTAGCTATTTATCAGTCTTGTTAGAAGTCTATATGGCTTTGGGGTAGAAAACTGTTCAGGGTCCTGTTGGTTCCAGACTTGGTGCATTGTTACCGCTTGCCGTGCGGGGTAGCAGAGGAGAAACAATACATCACTGGGGGCCTCTCTGACACCGCTGGTATAGAGGTCCTGGTGGGCAGGGAGCTCAGCCCCAGGAGTACTGGTCTGTACGCCAACTGCACTCTGTAGCGTCTGTGGTCAGATTGGCCAAGCAGAGTTGCATAGAAAGCGGTGATGAAGACTGCAGCCAGTCAATATGCTCTCAATGGTGCAGCTGTAGAACTTTTGAGATCTGAAGGCCCATGCCAAATCTTTTCAGACCCTCTGAGGGGAAGAGGTGCTGTCCTGGTGTGAGAAGAACTCTACCAACGAACAAGAGCAAACACATGAAAATAACATCCCAGGAACTTTTCCAAGCGCTCAATCCATTGATAGAGCCTGGAGAGTGTTCAGGCGAAGGAAGAAACATTGGTCGGGGCAGATCACGTCTCAGATCTATTTAGTCCTTTTTTGCTATCACATTGTAATTTTTATTTGATCTGAAACAGATATAGCAATATAGTGAAGACATGGACTGACTGATTGGAATTATAATTTATTTGGTTGGGAGCATGTTCGAGAGTCACACACTTCGTAGAAACAGATCATGATGCTTATAATCCAACGACTGTTTGTCCGTCAGGTATGTTCACTACATGTCCACAATGGTTATTATTTAAGGACCATTATTTATAATCGGCTATTGATCCACAGGTAACAAAATATATATTAAATTTATAGTTTGCTTATATATTTCAGTTTCCAGTCAATTCGTATAGGCCAAAATGACAAAAAACAAACTCCGGAAAGTCGCATGAGCGTCGGTAATTACAGTGAAGATGGCGCAGCGGCCACCTCTAGGGCATTACTGGACCTGCCCATTACTTGTTCCCCTGTTCCCCGAGAGAGGCCCAGACGGGATTATCAGAGGGCTTCGCCACGGTTCTAGGTCTACCAACACCAACCTCACCCATCACCTCAAATCAGAAGAGAAGTGAGGTGAAGTTCACCCGGTAATTCTCCATCGAATCATCTGACAGAGACAGTCCTTCTCGTTCGATGTCCAAGCCTTCTCCATTGTCGGTGTTGCCATCGCCCAACGTGTGATCACCTGCCATTGCCGTGGGAGAGAGGAGTTGGAGCCAAGAGGAGAGCTGAGAATTCTCCACCGGCCGTTGCAGATGCATTTTGTTCCCAGAGCAGGTGTTGGTTACCCCAAGCTACGTGACAGGGGAGCCACAGTCCATGACGCATGGTGCTGATCGGTGGATGAGAACCACAAGAGAAGAGCGCAATGTTGCTGTGCTCTCCTACATGATCTGCTCAGACTCAGCGTTGCTCCTTGTTTTGCCGACCCTCCACGTATCTTGTTATGGAAGTATCGGTGCTACTACATTATGCTTATGATGATCACCATTTTAAAAGATTGTAAAACACTTTTCATTTTCACATTATGCACTTTAAACTTTTTGTTTTATCAAAGTTTACTTCTTAGAAACTATAAAGAAAAGGTCTGCTATTGCTGTTGTTTTGATTGGTTTAATACAATTATGTCCCAACACCAAAAATACAGTATTTCCCTAGGTAAAAGTGTGGGGACCTCCCCTGTGTATGAATTAGTGGTGGCATCACCAGGGCCCCGTTTTTCAAAAACATATCCATATCTCATGTTTCTTCCCCTTTATTTTAGAAAGAGAAAACAGTATTCTTTGAATATGTCATTCTGTTCTAATATGATATTTGGTGGGGATTTAGTATAAAGATTGTGTGATGTGAAAGATTGGTTAGGTTTGTAAAAATGCCATCTAAAAACACGGAGGGGAGGGGAGCTGAATTGAAAAGACAATAAAACATTTTGATTTGAATTCGATTTTGTTTTGGAAAAAAACTGGGTACCATGACAGAATTGTTAATTTAGGTTCAGTAAATTCATCACTCAAGTCCTTTGTCATTTAGTTAAAAGGTGGGGGTGGCCAAAAACTGTCAATTCCAAAAACATTCCAATGTTAGGCCCTTGTGAAAAACATTCTACATATTTACAGCATGTAAATGACACAGGTAGCATCATCATTATAAGCATGTTAACTGGACAATTGAACCGATAAATGGGGTTTGATAATCAGTGGAATCTGATAGACAGGCTTTGACTTAACAAATCTTAGTTGGTAAGAGTAGCTACCAAATTCCAAATCAAACCATTAGATTAAGTCTTGATTCAATCACATGGCCTATACAATGTAGAATAAGGTAGTTTGCCAACACCAATTCCCCATGGCTAACATTTTTCTTTGTTGAGAATAACTATTAGTTAGGGCCCATTCCTTGTCATGAGCAATATGCCTGGCCTAGTTACCCACCACTGTAAATGGCATGTAATATGATTAACACTGATGACAGTAGTAAGCCTACTTGAACAACTTTACCACAAACCTTAGCAAAGCCAGGCAGGAGAAGATGAAGAACGCTATATAATTTAAAATTGGGTCAGTCTTAAACATAAAGCATTCCTTTGGCTTAAAAAATGGAAACAAAAAGAATTGGAAATGAGCACTACTCGATGAATTAGGGCTTGTTCAGCTAAATTATTATTCCATGATTTCAATAAATAAGTAAGCCGATATTAATTTGGAACCATAGACAGCAACTAATAGCCTGGGTACCATGTCTGGTTAGCAATATTACACTAGCCTGGGGTACCAGTATGTGTAGCTAACATTCCACTAGCCTGGGAGTGGGGTACCAGTATGTTTAGCAAAATTCCACTAGCCTGGGGTAAAACAGTCGTTTAGCTAACATTCCACTAGCCTGGGTTACAGTATGTGAGTAACTTCACACTAAGCCTGGGTAACAGTCTGTTTAGCTAAACATTCACTAGACCTGGGTACCATCGTTTAGATAACAATCCATAGCCTGGGTCCATTCTGTTTTGCTAACATTCACTCCTGTGCTCCGTGTCTGTAATATGTTAGATGACAGGAGTGGACCGATAGCTTAATAACAGACTGGTACCAGACTCGTGGAAAGATAGCTAAAACAGGACTGGTACCGAATAGTGGAACATAAAGCTAAACAGACTGGTACCAGACTAGTGGAAGGGAACGATAGCTAAACAGATGGTAGCAGGACTAGTGGAAATTTAGCCTAAACCGGACTGGTACCAGGACTAGTGGTTAACGATAGATAAACAGACTGGTAGCAGGACTAGTGGAACGATAGCTAAACAGACTGGTAGCAGAACTAGTGGAACGATTAGCTAAACAAGACTGGTACCAGAATAGTGAACCGATAGCTAAAACGAATGGAGCAGACTAGTGGAACGATAGCTAAAACAGACAGGTACCAGACTAGTGGAACGATAGCCTAAACGGACTGGTACCCAGACTAGTGGAAACGAAGCTAAACAGGAACTGACAGGGATAGTGGACGATCGCTAAACAGACTGGTACCAGACTATGGAACGATAGCTAAACAGACTGGTACCAGACTAGTGGAACGATAAGCTAAACAGATGGTACCAGACTAGTGAAACGATTAGCTAAACGAGACTGGTAGCAGACTAGTGGACGATAGATAAACAGACTGGTAGCAGGACTAGTGGACGATAGCTAAAAACAGAATGGTACCAGACTAGTGGACGTAGCTACAGGACTGGTAGCAGACTGTGGAAGAAGATAGTAAACGATGGTAAGCAGACTAGTGGACCGATAGATAAAACAGACTGGTAGCAGACTAGTGAACGTAGCTAAACAGATGGTACCAGGGACTAGTGGAACGTAGCTAAAAACAGACTGGTGCAGACTAGTGGAACGATAAGCTAAAACAGATGGTGCAGGACTAGTGGAACCGATAGCTAAACAGACTGGTACAGGGATAGTGGAACGATAGTAAAACAACAGACTGGTTAGCAGGACTAGCAAACTGGCTGGAATATTAGGGCAAAACCTAAATTTCTGAACATTTTCTTATGAATGTTCCTTTTGGCGCAGTTATCAATACTGTTGACGGATGATATAATTCAAAGTGACTGACCACCTGACCACCATCAAGGTTAGCAAATATGGAGTGAGTGAAATGAAATCTGTGTTTGCGGATCTAGAATTTTCTGTGCAGTGGTACTCTTACATGTCTGCCAACTTGGCGCACTGCACCCACGACTGCACCTCATATGGAATGTAGGCCAGATGAGTTGGAGAGGGTAGAAGGGCATTGTGGTTTGTGTGTGAGTGTGCCTTCGGGCCTGGTGTGTGGGTGTGTGATTTTTTTGCCTGCAGGTCTGTTTGGACCTACCTTTGTGGCCACTCAACTCCCAAAGTGGCCGAGCCTGATATGCAAACCTTCCTGAATGGCACCAAACTCTGCGGGGTCAATGCAAGAGTGAATTTCAGCCAGAAGATGCCAAAGGTCAAGGTCAATACTAAAATGTATGACCAAAAACAGCCCTAAATAAATCAATCAATCAATGTTTTATTTTTAAAGCCCTATTTTTACATCAGCAGATGTCACAAATTGCTATAAGAAAGCACTTTGGCTCTCTCCAACTAGAGTTTGGTGCCAAATGGCATGTGGCCTAAGTACTGTATTTGTGTTCTGACAACAAACTGTCAGATAATTACAGTGCCGTGCTACAGTAGACCTATCATCCACTTTCAGATAAGTAGTGCTACAGTCGGGACCCATAACATCCACTGTTCAGATAATAGTGCTACAGTTAGACCGAATCATCACTGTTCAGATAATAGTGCTACAGTAGACCTACTCATCCAGAAAGTAGTTGAGGGTCATCCGCATACAATGATAGGAGAAGAGCAGTCACGGTTTGAGAGGACCTGCTTGAAGAAAAAAAAAATCATGCCATATCTCATGTTTTCTCTCCCTCATTTTAGAAAAGAGAAACAACAGATTGAATATGGCCTTTGTTCTAATATGAATTTGGGTAGTTAGTATAAAAGATGTTGATGTGAAAAGATTTGGTTCAGGTTGTAAAACTGCATCTAAAAACAGGAGGGGAGGGGAGCTGAATGAAAATGACAATAACATTTTGATTCTGAATTCGATTTTGTTTTGGAAAAAACTGGTCCCATGACAAGAATTTGGTTAATCTAGGTTTCCAGTAAATTTCATCCCACTAAGTCCTTGGTCCATTAGTTAAAGGTTGGGTGTGGCCAAACTGTCAATTCCAAACATTCCCAATGTTATGGCCCTGTAAAAACACTAATATTTACTGCATGTAAATGACACAGGTGAGCAGGCATTCATCATTAAGCCTGTTTTAAACTGGACAATGACCGATAAATGGTGGTGATAATCAGTGGCATCGATAGGCCTTTACTCTAACAAATCCTTAGTTTGTAAGGAGAGTAGCTACAAATTCAAAATCAACCCATAGGAATAAGTCTTGATTCAATCACCTGGCCATATACAAGTGGAGAATAAGTTATTTTGCCAACACAATTCCCCATGCTAACATTTTCTATTGTGAGAATACTATTAGTACGGCCCATTCCTTGTCTGAGCAATATGCCGGCCTATTTACCCACACTGTAACTGCAGGTAATATGATTAACATTAGATGACAGTAGTAAGCTACTTGAACACTTTACCACAACCTTTAGCAAAGCCCAGGCAGAGAACGCTATATAATTTATAAAATTGGTTTCAGTCTTAACATAAGCAACTCTTTGGCTAAAAAATGGAACAAAAAGCATTGTAAATGAGCACTACTCGATGAATAGCGTGTTCAGCTAATATTATTATTCCAATGAGTTTCAATAAATAATGTAAGCCGATATTAATTTGGACCATAGACAGCAATTACTAGCCTGGGGTACCATTTGTTTAGCAGAATATTAAAATAGCTGCGGTACCAGTCTGTTTAGCTAACATTCCACTAGCCTGGGACCAGTCGTTAGCAACATTCCACTAGGCCGGGTAAACAGTCTGTTAGCAACTTCCACTAGCCATGGGTAACAGTCTGTTTAGCTAAACATGTCCACTAGCCTGGGTACCAGTCTGTTTAGCTAACAATCCACGAGCCTGGGGTACCATCTGTTTGATAACATTCAATCCTTGTGCTCCGTGTCATATGTTTAGCAATGACAGGAGTGGAACGAATAGCTAAACAGACTGGTACAAGACTCGTTGGAACGATAGCTAAACAGACTGAGTACCAGACTGTGGCACGCTAGCCTAAAACAGACTGGTACCAGACTAGTGAAACGATAGCTAAAACAGACTGGAGCAGATAGTGGAACGATAGCTAAACAGACTGGTACCAGGACTAGTGGAAACGATAGATAACAAATGGTACCAGACTAGTGGAACGATTAGCTAAACGGACTGTTAGCAGGGAATAGTGGAACGAT